CTAGGGTTTTCTCAATGACCGAAGATCCCTTGGCCGCGGCGCACTCCTTCTTCCGCGTGAACTCCGTCCTATCCGCCCTTCAGGAGCGGCTAGGTCGCTACCAAAGAGCGTCGCTCGTCTTGCGTGAGGCGACGGCGGCCCTGCAGGCCGTTCACACCCTCCAGCCCCTCTTGACCCCCGACCCATCCCCGTGGGGGGACATCCTCATCCAGGATGAGCAAGAGCAGGAGGAGGAGGAGGAGGAGGACGTCCCTCTTTTCCCGTTTGCCACCACGGCGGAGGAGGAGGAGGAGGAAGCTGCGCTTGTCCGGGAGTGGCTCGCCGCGCTGAGCGCGGGCTATGGGGGGCAGCCGGATCGCACAGCCGTGACGGCGTCGCTACTGAACCTGTCGAGCCTCACCGCGGCGCTGGCCTGGACGCGTGTTAGAGCGATCCACCGTGCTGACGACGTGTGTGCCCGAGTTGCGAGCTGCCAGCAAAAGATCTCAGCTCTCCAAGCGGACGTCAAGCGCGCCATGGAGCGCGTGGACTGGGTGTTTAACTGCCTCCCCGCGGCGCTGGAGTTGGAGGTGGCATGCGTGCGCTGGCTTCACAATCTCGTCCAGTGGCACTGCCCACGCGATGGAAATTCGACCCCCGCCGCATCAGTCGTCCCCAGTGATGTGGCTGATGCTTTATTATCAACAGAAGATCCAACTGGTTCTGCTAAAAGCTTTTGGGATCAACTTGAGCAATCGCACCGTATGATCTGGGCTACGGTGCAGGAAACTTCCTTTTGGGCCACAGAAAGGCAGCTGTATCGGCATAGGCTTCAACAACAGCGCGTTAGAATGCTCAATGCGTGTGAGCGCGCATTAGCAAATTTCAGCGGCAGATTGTGACGCAAGGACTTAACTTCTCTATTGATAAACTAAACAAAACAAATACCGTTCGAGCCTCTTCTTTTCTTTTTAATAAATGTATTATTACCCTTGTAATTTCTATTTATGCTTTATTAGGATTCATTTCTTCTTACTCGGCAAACAGATTTTCTCTGCGGAAACTGGTGCTCCTAGAAAGGGAGTAGAGGGGAGGGGGGGGGGGGGGAATATTTTTCCTTCAATGCAATGTCTACGATTGCTATTACTATTAGCAGAAAGAATGATTACACAAGCTAACTCATACTGATAATAGGTGTTATATTCGTTCCTGCGTAAATTGTAATTTATACTTGAATTTATATTTATACATTTACGTTTTTGGTTTTCTTCTACTTTTCCACAAAAAGAAAAACATTACAGTTACTCTTCCATTGCTCCGTTTTGAACACTGGACTTTCAATTAAAAATATATTTAAAAAGGTTTACAAATGAAATGAATGTAGAGGAAACTAATATCCATAGTGTGGGATATAAGAAAGGGGTATGTTACCCTTAAATCCAGATCTTTTTTCGGTATAGTTTCTTCAGAGCCTGCTTATTTTGAATTGTTTGCTGTTATTGTTTTTCTCATTGTTAACCGCTTTTTTACATGTGCATTTTTCTAACATAACAATCTTCTTTTCATTTTGTTCACCTAATTTAAGACCAATTACCGTCATTTTCTAGTTAAAATTAGACGAGTTCTGCTAATAGTTTTTTTTCTATCATGAAGATTTATAGAGAGAGAGAACCCTTCCTTTGCGTTGTATTTCAGACTTTACGGATTATATCACCACATCGTTTAGCTTTAAAGATTTAGTCTAACTCGCATTCTAGATTTTAGTCTCATTAGATTTATTGTTTCCTTTTAGATTGCTAAAGTGGGTTCCACATTTCCTCTTATCGTGTCTGTTTGGTGTTTCATTTTGGATTAATGGAATCAAACGAGTAGTGAAAAAATATAAAAAAAGTGAATTGGACGAATGACCTTGACTCACTCATTATCAATTACCTCCAGTACTAATAATTATTATAGAATAACCAAATTCCTCTGCTCTTTATTCTTCATCATTATATTGTTAATTTATTTAACAACAAGCAAAAATTAATATTGAGCACATTATAAGAAACATAAATTTCACTAGAGCTTCATACATTGTATTACTTCTTTTAATTACCACCCTTTCTTTACTATTTCTGCATTTTCTTTTTTTTTCATCATAGTAACATTTAAAAATCAATAATTTGTGTTCCTTGATAATCAAATAAACACACTGAAACTTTATTCAGGACCAAAAGTGGTAAATTACCAACAGCAATGAGCGCTTCAAGTTCCACAAACGAAAATATTTTCTCAACTCAAGCTCCTGATGGAGCAGGAAGCAAGCCCAGCACCCCCAAACTTGGGTTCGATAGACTCTATGAAAAGACACCCCCAGAATTCGTTAACTTGGAAAATAACAGTCTCATACACGTGCAAATCGATGAAATGACGGGGAGCAATTCTTCAGTTGGAACAATGCCGCAAGCCCCTTTGGAGTTTAAACATTCATCTATTGAACCGACCTACGAATCCTTTATGTATAACGAAGGCATTGCTCAAAGTATTGAACCCGGTACGAGTCTCCTAGAGCTTGCCAACCGACCGAACTCTACAACCTCCAGCATTGCTTACGTCAATGCGGTGGAGCAAGACCCTAACACACTCAAACCCAATGATCCATCTCAGAAATCCTACGCTTCTATGAGTCATGTTCTGGTGCAGTTTGGCCGCACATACGCCGTATGCTATGTTCCTCACAAACACCGTGGAACCTTTGGATTGGACGATTTAGTCCTCTGTGAAGCTGCTCATGGCGAGGCGACTGGCACGTCCGTGGCCGATCTGACGCCCTACATGGACGAAGTCCGCACTCAACAGACGCAAGCGTTGAAGCGCTTTCAAGGGGATCCACTATGCCCCAATGAAAACACAGAGGGTGCAGTTCATTGCCCACTTTATCAAGGAGCGGTCACCTGTGGGCTCCCCTGCGATGACTGCCTCCTGCGCCTGCCGCGAATTCTGCGTCGTGGAGTGAACAAAGACAAAAAACGTGTCCATTTTTCACACCGCCGAAACGGTGAAGCCCTGTGGGTTGTTCAACAACTACTGCGTGAGCGTCAATGGGATTCAGTCCTCAGTGTTGCTGAGGTCGCTTACCAGGGTGATTTTCTCAGCACGACGCTGCACCTGCATGGCCACCCAGACTCATGCACATGGAAACCTCAAGAATATCAACGCGCTGCTGGGAGCTTTACGTCAGTGCTTCGGACGAATATTGTAGAATTTCGCTACTCCTTTGCACACCCAGAACTGCTTCACCTTACGAGGAATATCATAGGCCACACACTTGACGACGTGATCACCAAATTCCTTCGTCCAAATGGGATAAAAAAGGACGTCACATCCCACTGGCGTCCTCTGCATGACACTTTGCAGGCGCCGCTGCAAAAACCACCTGCCCTACCGACTGTGCTCCAATCGACTTCTACCAATATATCAGGCGTGCAGCCTTTCAACACCTCTGGGCTGTCTACGTCTCAGATAAGCTACTCATCGTGCGTCTCATCCGCAGGTCTGCAAGCAATGCCGAATACGCCTTTCTACCCACCACCGAAGTATTCTACGGGCACCGAAGCATCTCGTCAGCCGAACTTTCCCCAAACAGGCTTCCCTTTTCCAGGTTCACTTGTGATTCCAGCCCCCGGCGAAGGGGCAGAGTTGCGGGCCATGGTACCGATTCAGTCTTCCGCCCCACCACTTCCAACGGCATCCAACCCAGGCTATTTCGTCTCCTTGCCGACGGCAGCGCACATGGATGGCCCGAATATGCAGCCTATGTATTACATGATGGCCCTACCAACTGTCCCGTATCCCAACAATTTTGTTATGCCGCAAATGCAGGTCCCGATGACAAACCCTGGTGTATTGGTTCCCCCTATACCTGCCGTTCATATAGAGTCACCCCAGATAATGGGGTACACGCCAACGCTGGATGGACATGGGCTCATGTCATATCCTCCACGAAACCAAACCTCCGCGCAGCAGGGCTTGGAATCCAACCCCACACGGGGGATTAGAGAGGGACAGCACATATTCTTTTAATAGATAAAACAGATGCAATCGCAACTAATTCAACAACAAAAAAGGTATTGTGCATGGGGAGGGGGATGGGAGGGGGGAGGGTCGCAAGTAAATATGACTCAGCAAGGTCAATTTTCCGAGATTAATACAAAATCTGACGTTTTTTCCTTATGAGTCGCCCTCTCGCTTTACAATATAGAGAAAGGGAAAGGATAAAAGAAAAAAGCCTTTCAGTCAAGATACATTTTTTTTTATCAGTAAATAGTCTCCAACAATGAGGTATTTTATTTGTATAGCTGAAAAAGGAAGCCCGTATTCTATGAACATAACAATAGATATACTAAACCCTTTTTGTACCTGAAAACCAATATGCGACAATTTTTTCATAGTCACAAAAGTACAAATGTACTTATTAATGGATTGTCTGACATCTATAGTAACAGGGGAGGAAAGAAGGGGTACGTAAATATGTATTAACTTCTATTTAAATTGGGAAATTTTTTAAGTGGAAACCTACAGATCCATTTTTGTTGGTGTGACTTCATGCACTTGACGTGTCAGTGCAACATATATATATATATATTATTATTTGTGTAAATAAAGGGGAGGGGAAAACATGTTTCATTTATTTATTATGTATTAAGTGCTACAAATAAAGCTAAAAAGATAAGCTCAGAAACTGAGTTCAACGGTAAAATGGAATGTTGTGTATCTAAATCTGTAAACAACAAATGAAACTTATTTTTAAAACAATCAACCTTTTTTTTGGTGTTCTAGGTTATGGTATTTGATTATATTGCGTTTTTAAAATGCAGATTCATTGCCAAAAAAGATTTGAGCATTCATGGATGCTTGAAGTGCTGTCATTCAATAACTTAGGCATAGATACTCTATAAATTGAGAGAGAGGGTCTAACGTCAATAATCTTACCTAAAACGTGTCTTCGTGTTGATTAAATCCCGTAAGAAAATATGCATATATATAACAGCAACGCCTGTTTATATGCATAAAAAATTGGAATCTAAGATGTTGTTTGTTTTTATAGTTTCTATAATATACTTTTGGGGTGTGTGTGCCGTATGCATGAATGCGGAGAACATTTTCCTCAAAAACATCGTGAACACCTGTCTACCTTATCCCTTAAAGTGAGTTGCTTGCTAAATATATTTATCTTTTGATTTTTTCTCAAAAAAATTGCTCGCAATAATTTTTGAATGCCTTAATAATTATAATGGTAAAAATATTTCTTTTAAGGTCTAGTAATATTGAATACCTATTTACATTTTACTTTTACCAGCAGTAAAGATTGCTTTAATGATTAATCTCTTGATTTTTAGTATACAAACGCGTAATAACTGCGTATAACGCGTTATTATATAAATATATATATATATATATGTATGTATATATATATATATATTTATGCGTACATAGTAACCTTAAAGAATGCTAGGGGGCTCTCTCTTCTTTTTCTTAATATGTCTTTTAGTAAGTTGTATGCTTTCCTCTACCTGTTTAGATGTAAGCATGTACGATTATTTTTTGTTTAAAAAGATCATTGGTAAGAAAACCTTAACATTTTTTTGATAGCCGAAATACATATATATATATATATATATATATATGTATATATATACACATATATATATATATATATATATATG